CTACACACTTGGAACCTTATAATGAGAGTTAGGTGATTACATATGTCACTGATTCTCAACTTTAGCATCATGTTAGAATCACCTGGAGAACTTTATTAAGACAAACAATATATCCCATGGCTGCCCCCCAGCTCCCCAGGTCACTTATCTAAAAAGCATTGATGTAGCGCAAAGTACAGCAGTCATTAAAAAAAAATATTTATTTATGCATATAAGACCTGGGGTGTAGGCCATAGGTAAGGGGTAGGGAGGGGGGGAGGATGTGAAAGGATTCACCAAAGAAAGTGGGGAGCAGAACAGCCGGATCCAGAGAAATACACTGCTGAGAGGAGCAGGGGGCAAGACCTGAGAGGTCTGCTACTAGTTTCATAGTGCTGAGACTTAACCTCTTGCACCACCAGGGAGGCCCAAGAACAACATTTAAAGTCCCCCAAGAATTCTAACTTTCAGGCAGAGCTGGGAACTCTGATATTCCTGACACACCCAAGGAACCCCAAAACTAATAACTACTAATAATTTGCTCTTCCTTCTTCCAGTCATGGTGTCCACCAAGTGCTCCTCCAGGTGACAGAAACTGAGAAAAGGTCCTGTCACCTGAACCCTGACTCCTGCATTTGTGGAATCAGCCTGTCCCACACCCCAACTCACGTCCTGGGACTGGCTGTTCTCTGGTTCTGAGTTGGATGCCTCTGGTCCTGCACTGAATCCTGCTCTTCCTGGTCTACCCTGGACCTGGCTCACAGGGTCCTGTTTTAATCCCTGACTCTGGAATCTTACTTGAGAACCCTCCTCAGTCCTTATTCTTAAAAACAGATTTTTTGCCTTTTTTGGTTTGTTTCCAGTAGCTGCTGCCACCCACACTCTTGTTCTCTTGGGGAGTCGGGGAGTGACCTCTTCTGGTGATCTCAGTCCAATTCCAAAACTGTGAAGTCATTTTGATTATTAATCAGACACAATTCTATTTAAAATTTTAGTCAAGTTCATTACTAAAGCGTCACTGTTATCTTTGACACAAAGCTTCCCCTTTGTCACAGAGAGGGGGAGAACTGAGGCTAGTGGAGGGAAATCTCAGTTCCTTCCACACCCATTCCTGCTCTTACTTCCCTGTTACTGGACAGGGGAGGAGAGAGAGGGATAGTTCTCCACAGGAAATCTGCTCTTATAGGTCATTCCTGCTGAGCAAGCTTATCACCACAAGCTAGGGAGTACACAGATGAGTACCTCAACCCCTAGCCCTGAAGAGGTCCCTGTGGCCTCTTGGAGACTAGACTGCACCTGTAGGCTGGCTTCCAGCCCATCTCATATACTCTTTGCCCATGATTCAGTAGCTCTGGGCAGACCTGCACCCCACCGTCTTATCTGATCTATGTCCGGCCAGCTGCCATAGTATGATTCCTTCCACACCTTTTCAAGGCCTGAACTTGAACATACAGACATTCATGCTCCCCACAGCCTGTACCCTCCATGCCTGTCATCTCTCATCAAAGCACCTCTTGCCAGTGGCATCTGATCACTAAACTAGCCTGGTAGCCCAGCTGATGTCCAACTAGGAATGGGATATGATTCTCTTAGTGTCCCCCTCTCTCAGCTGCACTCTCCCCAAAAGACAAGCTCTTCTTGGTTCTGTTGAAAAGACCTCTCTCAACAGTTCATGGGAGAGGTCTTACCTTAGGCTTAGAATATGTGGAACTTGGGGTTTCAGTCTTTACTGTGGGTACTGATCATTCACACAGGGCAATCCTTGGGCCCCTGGTACCCACTGTCTCTCCCACAACAGTGCTCACTTTCATGTAAGATAGCCTGAATCCCCTTCGACTTCTCCTTGACTGTGGGCAGCCACATGACCGACATCAGCAGGGAAGGCCCCATGACAGAAAGCATCACCCCGCTCCTACCCTGGGAGACCTTGCATAAGTCATTTCACCTCTGTCTGGGACCCCTGTCTGGAACAGGGTGGTACTGGTGAGGATGAAATAAGGAGAAAGTTGGGAAAGCACTGAGAATTACTAGGTGCACTAAACTCACTCAAAATATCTGACAGCAAATCATCTGTTCAATCTGTAAGAACAGAACTGTGAAATACTTAACACTATATGTAGTTCTGGAAAGTTTCGCTTTCTGACATCCTTCTATTTCCTCTTTCTCCAGGACTCTGACCAGAATGAAATTTCTTTGACCTTAAAAACAGAGCAATGGTTGTTCATGCAGCTAGGAGGAAGCCTGCACACACACACACACACACACACACACACAAACCACATGTTATCCTGTGGTTACCCTTTTTTGATTGACCCAAGTAAACACAAATTTTAAATAATTCAAATATCAACTAATTTGGGGTCATACTGAAAAGTCACAGCCCTTTGTCTTCCTACTTCCATCCTTCAACCTGGAGTGCGATTCTGATACAAGTTTTCAACTCTTGTGTCATGGTATGTATTACTATGGCTGCAAAACAGTATGTTTATCTTGCTTTTTCAGAGAAACACTTCAAGGGAAAAACAAAAAGAAATAGAAAATATGAAAGGAAAATTAAACAAAGAACTAGGAGACACATACTTGACTAAGAAAAAAGGGAATAAGAAAATGAAGGGGGGTAAATTCTGCCTGTCCACCTGTCTGCCTGTCCATCCACCCATCTACCTTTTGGTCTATCTGGTTCCCCAAGGCTAAGGAGGGGAGATTCCAACTTAGGTTTTCCAACTTCTGTTATGTTGTATCTTAAATCCAGTGCTCTTTGGCCTCACTGGACCCTGGAAAACCAAATTTTACAGGGACCCTACTAAGAGCCAAGTTTCCAGTCTCCATGATTATTTCCTTACTGGCTCTATTCTTCCTTTACTGCCTTGTGCACCCTGAAAAGGCAGGCCCCATGTAGGCCTGGGGAGGGGGGCCAGTAAAGATAGAATGGAGAGCTGACGCTTAGCTCTTTTAAGGCTAAACCTCCAGCACATCTACCAAGATGGACAAATGACAAAAACATAATATTAAACAAAAAAGAAAGTTGCAGAATATATAATTTTATGGCATATTTGATCAAGTCAAACTTTCACTAAAGAAACAGTTTTTACTGAAAACCCAAACTACAACACACTTAATCAGTGAAGACGCTATGCCGGTAATACAAACACATTTTAAGACAGTAAGCCGAGGTAGAAGATCTTGTAGTAATAATGGTTAGCTGCAGCCTAATTTTGGCCCTGTTCCTCTGCCAAGGTCCTATTGACATCATCAGATTCAAATGTATAAACCTGAAATAGCTCTGTCTGAGTGAGTTTCCATTGGCCAAACGATGGCACAAGACGTTGATTCTCAAATAACTAGAACTTTAGTATTCCAATGAACAGATAAGTGCCCATTTTATCAGCTGGATGAGGGGAGCTGAACCCACCGCAATATCTCCCTGAAATCCTGGAGACTACTCCTATGAGTCCATTCTGCAGCCTGCTCCCTGACCCGCTTACTTGGAGTGTAGCAGCTGCCGTTCCCTCTGCTTCCCCAAATACCACCCCCAGTTTGGAAAATCACTACACACCTGTCATTTCTCCCCAGGCTCTGTTCATAAAAGCATTTGCTGTGCAATCTTATTGAAGATGTGCTGGTAATGGAAGATTACAACACAGCATTATATAGGCAACACCCTGAGGCTGAATATTAGAATAGATACACCTGTCCTACAGATGCCCAGATATTTTATTGGGACTTGCTAACCATAGTTAGACTTTCTGCTTTCTTGTTCTTTTTACTCCAATTGCACTGAGAGATGTGGTTGATATATTACACTGTGTACGTTTCAGGTTCCAATGTGTTGTAATTGTTAAAGATCTAAAATGCACTGCTGAGAGGAGCAGCAGACAAAACAAGGAGCACCATAAGCGGGTCAGTTTGGAACTCAAGACATAGTAGTGATGGTGCTGAGACTTAACCCCTAGGCCACCAGGGAGACCCTAAAATATGCTGGCTCGGTATACTTTATATTTTAATCTGATTGGTTGCCATCAGAACCTAAGCTAATAGCCCTCATATGGTTACCATTTTGTGGGTGGGGGGGTGGGGGAGAACATTTAAGATCTACTGTCTTACTGCTCTTTGTTTTTTTCTTTTTTTTTAAGATTTATTTTTTTATACAAGAACTGGGGTATAGGCCAGGGGTGGGGTGGGGGAGTTAAAGGATTCGCCAGAAACAAAGTGGGGAGCAGAACAGGCAGATCTACTGAAAGACACTCTAAGGGGAGCAGCAGGCAAGACAGGAGAGGTCTGCTGTGCCATGTGGATCTGCTCGTTGGCCAGGGATAGAACTCCTGCTGCAGTGGCTGCAGACAGCTTCATCGTGCTGAGACTAAACCTCCTGCACCACCAGGAGGGTCCAATTACTGCCCTGTCGTAACTTCCCTCTTGCTGCTACCCTCTTCTAGGACTAGCTTCCTCTCCAGTCAGTCAGCCGTCAGTGCCCAAATTTGTGTTATTTTCCTCGTGCAGACTTAACTCAGGCTCCTGCTGACATCATTAGATTCAAATGCAAGAATTCCAATGTTTTGCATGTTCACCTCCCCCTCTTGTCAACATGCCTCACTCAAAAAGAACCATCAAGTCATTATTTTTTTCTTTTTTGTTCCATAAAGTTATTTTTCTAACCCAATTCCAAAAGAAGAAAGAAAAACGCCCTCAAAAGCTATCTCCTCTGTTAGGACTTCAGTCTATATGCCCCTTTAAGATTAAAACAACAGAGATCAGTTGTTGTTTAAATGGCATTTCCTCCACCTATATGTAGTTGGCCATATAAAATAGAGGAGCGATTATATCTACCATTTCTAGAACACCTATTCAACACACTTCTTACTCTAGCCCTCCCAGATCCCCTATGAAGTGGCAGATGGTGTCACCTCCCGACTGCAGATGACCACACGAAGGCTCAAAGAAGGCTAAGTGACTTGCCTGAGGTCACCCAGCTGCCAGTGGGCAGCAAGTGACTTATCCAGCATCTGCCTGTCCCCAAGCATATGGATCTCCAGCCTCCTCAGGAGCCTACTGAGATGCAATGGTTGAGGAAGAACTTCTGGCTCATCATAGCTGTGACCATCATCACTGTCTCCATGGTCCTGGGTCTTCTCCTGGCCTGCATCTGTAGGTGGCTGCTTAGACGAGGTAATGGCCATCTCACCTGGGCAGGAAGACTGGAGACAAGGGTGGTTATGAGCCATTTAGGCCTTGTCTAGGGCAAGGACATTAGATCTGTATGTATGTGTAACCTGAACTTTGAGCTCTGGTGTGAGTCTTAACACTGTGTCTGTCTCTAGGACTAACATGTGTCTGTCTCTAGGCCTCCATTTGCCCATCTATATAGTGAATGGGGGGAAGTTAGCTAATTTCCAAGAACTCTTCCAGCCCCAAGGCTTGGATGCAGAAGATGTTTCCAGGCAGCCTGTGTTAACAGTACTTTCTTCAGTATGGCTGACGATTACAGTTTTGTGTTTTGTTTTGTTTTTAAGATTTATTTATGCATACAAGAACTGGGGTGTAGACCAGAGGTGCAGGGGGTGAGAGGATTCACCAGAGGCAGAGTGGGGAGCAGAACAGGCAGCTGTACTAAAATACACTGCTGAGGGGAGCAGTGGATGAGACAGGAGAGGTCTGCTGCCCATGTAGGTCAGCTTCCTGGCTGGTTTGAACTCATGCCACAGTGGCTGGCAATAGCTTAATAGTGCTAAGACTTTAACCCTGCACCACCAGGGAGACTCTGATCACAGTTCTTATTACACACTTGAAAGACCACAAATCTGTTATGTCAAAAACTGTCTTAATTCAAATCTCGTTGAGTTGTATACATTAAATACATATAGCACCTTGTATGTCAATAAGGTGTTCTCTTAAGGAAGTTTTCTTGAAGCAAGAAAAATAGACTTAACTCATAATTAAATATTTCACCATCATGATAGCCTCCTCTATGACCACACTGAATTTTCTGGTACCATACTGCTTTTGGCCAGAGGTTGTTGACATTGTCAGGCACAAATAAATAACCTTCTGGAAATTAAACACTAACATTCAATTATCTACAGATGGGTTTCCACTTTCTTATTTCCAGAAACACCAACCCCTTAATTCAATGGTGTGCTTTCTTGAGATCCTATCCCTTTTCTTCAGGAGATTTTATCTCTTTAGGCAATGACCTTAGCCTGGGGGTATAACTGCAAATGGTAAATAGCCTGAGAGGTATCCTGGGCAGGGACCCCTCAGGGATCAAGCCACGGTCCTCCCTTGCTTCTGGACAGAGTCTCAAAATCCCTCTTTGCCCAATGTGGAAAGGTGAGGGCCGCACAAGAAGCAACACATTCTTGCCATTCTTCTCAATCTCTTTAGTGATACAAAAATTAAGACTCAGAGAGAGGCAAGCCTTGGTTGGGGGCTGGTGACAGAGTTGGGACTAGAATTTGGATCCACTGGGTTCCCCCATCCCTTAAGGGTAATTTATTTTTTTAATGCAAAAAGTATATTCTGGCCCCAATAACCCTCTATTCATTTACCTTCTTACAAGTTATTAATTTTCAGGTATGAGCACATGTGACAAAGCAAAAACTGCCTATTCTCCTTATCTTATCAACAAGCAGGTTATAATTAATAACAATTTATATGTCTAGCATGTCAACATTTACAAACTGTTTTTCCTATTCTTTACCTCATTTCCTCCCACCCATGCTTTTGGCTATTCATTCAGTCAGTATTTCTGAGTCAGACTATGTGCACTGCAACAAGAAATAAACACAGACCGCTTGATCCTGTCCTCCCTGGGCTAGCTCAAGGCCCTGCATTCACTCAGCCTGCTTACATTCTGGCTTTCACTTTTAACCACTGACTATATCCCTATGTCTATTTCCTCTTGGTGGTTCTTCTTCCAAAGATCCTGAAACCACCAGCTCTCTGAGGGCTTCTGAACACCAGAACTACATTTGCTAATTCTTCCTGAAATGATATGTTTTCGTTTTGTTTTTGTTTTTGTTTTGCCTTAGACAAGACATTGGAAATTGCCAAGAGCTTGAAACAAAAACGAAGAGAAGAAATGGTGTATGAGTAAGTGGGAGGAAATCCTTCTGCTTTTTGATTTTGAGAACCCCCTGTTCACTCTGGCAAGTAGGCTACTGTATCAGAATGACACAACTACCCACTTTCCATGGGGCCACTGAAATGCCCTGTATGCCAACTCTCCCCACCTTAAAGGGAGAGGTCTCAGATCTTTGAGGTGCAGGGCACCCTCTGGTTGGCTGCTCTCCAAATCCTCTCTCTTCTCACTTATTTAGCTAAAGGTCACAGGTGAGGTTCTGTGTCTGGACCACACTCAGCACTAGGTTACCCTTCTTTTCTTTCTTTTTATTTTTCACAACATCCTTCATTTTCTTTTACAATGTATGGTTTCCCTGTGAAATTCCCACCCATTCACCCGTGCCCATCACCATAGTCCCTTGTGCTCTTCCCACTCCTGTCCTGGTCCTTCTCCCTCCTCCTCCCCTACTACCCTTCTTTTCTTTAGATGGATTACACGGATAGTCCTCTAAAAGCTATGTGCTGAACAAAATTATGCCGTTCACTTTACTTTTGTGTTTATGTTATCACTGGGATGCTAAGATTGCGATCTGTTGTTAGGACCTCTGAAATTTAATGATTTATTAGAAAGACTCAAAGGACACATAAAAACAATGTTATTCATTGTTATAAGCTATGATAATAAAAAGGACACAGATTAAAATCAGCAAGGAAAAAAGCAATTATCCCAAAAGAATCATAGACGTTCTTCCAGCAATGATGTGTGACAGCATCTGTGGAAGCCTCATCAACCAGAGAAGCACCCCCAGCCTTGTTTCTAGGGGTTTTATTGGGGATCTAGGTAAAAAGGCTTCCTTGGAATCGATCTTTTTGTAGGATATCTTTTGGCCAATATATGAAAACAAAAAGTGCAAAGGGTAAGCATACCACTCAATAAATTTCCACAAAATCAGCAAACTCAAGTAATCAACATCCAGGTCAAGAAACAAAAATAATCAGCACCTCAGCATTTATATTCCCCTTCAGTCATTATACGCTAAGGATAACCACTATACAAGCTGATTTTCTCTTTGTTTTTACGCTGTATGTAAGTGCAAACATATATACACATATAGTATGTATTATTTGGTATGTGGCTTCTTTTGATCAACATTTTGCCTATGATTCATTGTGTGTTATTATAGATTCTTAATTCTTATTGCAACAGAGTATTCCATCATGGGAGTAGACCAACATTAAGGCATCCATTCTACTGCTGGTAGGCATTTGGGTAGTGACCAACTTGGGACTAGTCTGAATAGTGATGCTATGAATATGCTAGTACAGGTCTTAAAATGTACAAGCATTTTAGTGAGGGATATGGAGTAGTAGAGTCGCTATCACATGGTGTGTATATTTAGACTTAGGGGTCTAGCATGTGCTTCCCTCCTAACCTAGCTCAGGGGAACCCCGCTCCTTGCTGTAAGTTACAGTACTTCATCTGCCCTCAAATCCAGCTCTTCCGTGGCCTGGAGGAAATGACTTTCTCAAAGTGCTAGTGGCAAACACAATATAAGATTTAGAAAGAGAAGGAAATGCTTCCAGTATTTAGGGACCATAATTTGAATCCAACCTGCCTACTTTTAATGTTGTCCTTTAACTCACTGACAGTAGGCATGATCAAACCAAAACTGACCCCTTTTTTTTTTCCCCCTCTCTCTTCAGGAATGTTTTTAATCAACTGCCAGCTCAATTACCCCCTCTGCCACCCAGGCGTCTGCTCTCTCCAAAAGATGCCTGTAAGTATATTTGCTGATAACAGTCTCATTCGGGGCATGATAATAAATTTATCTAAGTCTTAGTCATCTTGAGTTCCCCATAAAAAAAAAGAAAATATGGGCCCTCCCTGGTGGCGCAGCGGGTTAAAGCACAGCACTAAAAAGCTAAAGCCACTTCCGCATACACATGTGTTAGATCGCCTCCGCCCTGGAAGTGACCCACAAGGCGTGGTAGACCTCTCCTGACCCACCCACTGCTCCCTTCAGTAGTGTACTTCAACTCTGCCTGTTCTGCTCCCTGCTCTGTCTCTGGTGAATCCTCTTATCGCTCTTGCACCTCTAGCGTGCACCCCAGTTCTATGTGCAGAAATAAATAAATCTTAAAAAAAAAGAGAGAGAGAGAGAGAGAAAAAAGAAAATACCATAGATAGAAGGCTTAAACAACAGAAATGTATTTTGTCACAGTTCTGTAGGCTAGAAGTCCAAGATCATGGTTCTGGCCAATTTACACTCTCCCTTGCTTGCAGAGTCCCCACAAGGCCTTGCCTCCCTCCCTGCCTATGTGTACAGGGAGAGGGGCTCACTGTGGGGAAGAGAGGAGTTCTCTGGAGTCTCATGAAGACTAATCCTATTGGACCAGGGCCCAGCTCTTATAACATTATTTAATCTTAATTACTTCCACAGGGTATCACCTTCAAATACAGTCACCCTGGGGGCCCTGGATTAAGGCTTCAATACATTAATGTTATGGGAGCACAAATAGTCGGTCCATAGCCTTAAGATTCACAGATGGCGACATCAGCTCAACACAGACCCTGTGTAAGGCAGGGTCTCCTGGTGGAGCAAGAGGCTAAGTCTCAGCACTGTGAAGCTATCCAGAGCCACTGAAATACAAGTTTGATCCCCGGCCAGGGAGCTGACCCACATGGCACAGCAGACTTCTGTCTCACCCACTGCCCCTCTCAGCAGTGTATTTCAGTCAATCTGTCTGTTCTGCTCCCTACTCTGTCTGGTGAATCCTCTCATGGCTTCCCCCCTTACTCTCCCTACCACTTTGGCCTACACCCCAGCTCATATATGCATAAATAACTGAATCTTTAAAAAATAAAAATAGGTGAGATGAGCAAGTTAAAACAAGGCAGAAATAAATACTAATGCTCCCAATATTCAATGTGTAAGTTCATATTCAAATGCCAGCTTGGAGTATGAGTAAAAAGAAACTGAGAGTGTCACTGAGCCTCTTCTTATCAGAAAAACTGCCTGGTTCCCTTGATGGGAATGTTCTTCCTTAAATTCTTTGCATAGCTGATTTTACCTCATCCTTCTGTTGCACTCAAATGTCACCACCCCAGAGAAGCCATTCCTGATTGCCCTATCTAAAATAATCCTGCTAAGTTTCTTTATGAAACTTACGACATTTATCCAAAATTGTCCTCTTTAGTCGCTGTTCACTTATTCATTATCTATCTCCTCCAGAAAATAGAAATCTTTTTTTGTCCTTTTCACCACCGTTTACCCTTCAGTAAGAACAGTGCATGGAACTTAACAGATAATTAATAAAAATGACTAAATGAATAACCTTTATTAGCTACAATTTTTCGAGCATGCCCTGTGTGTCAGGCCCCATGCTTGGCACTTCACGGTAGTGATCCCATTTAATCCTCTCAACAACTCTATCAGGGAGGTACAATATTATTATTACCCTTCAACAAATGAGGATCCTGAGGCAAAGAGAAGTGACTTACCCATGGCTACCAGCTAATGACTTCTAGAGCCTGAACATGAGCTCAGCTCTGTCTAGTTGCAGAATTATGCTAGTAATGAAATGACAATAGTTTGGGGGGCTCTCTTAAGAAAAGATGAAATTGTGGTTGAGGTGGTTCCAGTTGCCATCAAAGGTGGATCTGAGGTGCTTCATCATCCTGTTCCTAGATACCTTAGTGCCTTTGCTATGTATCCTCCTCTAATTCTACCTTTTTAAAACACCACTGTCCCCCTCCTTCTTAATGGAGAGGCTACAACATGAACAATTACAGAAGCTTGTTTACATCATTGTTAGGGCTGTGCCCAAAGGGAAATATGGTTTGCATCACTTCCTTATGAGAATTAGGATATATAGACATGACACTACTAATCTGGCTACTGGCTCTGAAAAGTTTCTTGTCTAAGCTTCTGCTTCATGGTTTCCACTGAAATGAGGCCTTAGGCAAAGGAACGGGGAACACATCTGACCAACACTTAGTTACTGGGGTGATCCTAAGACTGTGTCATGTCTATGCCTCCGTTTCCTCTGTAAAATGAGGATCAAATACGTCAAGAAGTTTAAAGATCATTTCATGAAAATCCATGAAAGATCAACCCATGAAAATCACATTGGCCCCCTTCGTAAAATATATATAAATATACAATAGTTTTGCATCTAAGGTACTTTTGTGTATTCTAGCCTCACAGGAAACTCCAGGGCAGCCACCAGCTACGTATTCATTGGTAAATAAAGTTGGACAAAAGGAGACAGTTTCCACTCCAAGTTATTTTGAGCCTGAAGATGACTATGACGATGTTGAAGTCTCTACAAATATGGCAAACCATCATTTTGAAACAACTGTTTCTTCTTTTTGGAAAGCTGAAGAAGGGTCCCACAACTTATTTTAAAAGCTACAGAAGGGTTAAAAGACTATAGGTATCCAGAGCCCAAAAACCAGTGGTAATGCTATGAAGTTCTGTTAAGATAAACCCTTCCTCAAGTTTAGCCGAAGGAGCTTCAGCGATGGGATGACAGCAGCCAGAGGAAAGACGCTGGTGCTCAGCCCTGAAGACTGACCAAGTCGGGCCATAAGCGTCTATCAAGGAGTTTACACAGAGAGGACCAGGGGGTTCCCTGGCTCCCACCTGAGAAAACAAACCGATTCTCAGGTGTTTGATAGGGCAGCACCTCCCTGGCTCCTAAATCCAGCAAGGTCCCCACTGGGCACAGCATCCTGCCACACCTACCTTGCCCACCGCCCACATTGCAGGGCTGTGGGTGGTAGTTACGGTCCAGTTCTCATGAGAATATTACTTCTTCATGCCTTGTGAGTTCTTCAGGAGTACTTTTTGGTCCCTCCCTGCTTATACACACCCCAAACTCTAGTGTCTCTCTATGACCTTGGCCAAACTGACCATAGGGATTCAAATTCTCACGAGGATTTTATCCTGTGCTTCCTGGTTGCCCTGTAACAATCAATAAAGGACAGAAGTTACCTTCTGATTTACACATGGAAACATCCTTTTGCAATATGTGTATTGGAGAAGTTACAGGAAAAGTAAGTTTCCTCAGGAAAAGTCATGGGGAACAGAAAAGAAACGGGTGATTAAATGGCTGACTCAGGATTAGACTCCAGGAGATTTTACACCCTTAATTTTTATGACTGCTTTTTTCCTTACACAGAGTTCTATGCAAACAGTGTCAAGGTCCTTCCTTGCTGATCACTGTCCCTGAGTGTTTGGGAGGCAGAGACTCCAGGGCTATGTACTGCAGCTAACAAGATGCCAAGGGGATGGACTGCTGTCCTGTACTGAGTGCCCTAGTGGGGCCACGAAGGCCCCACGAAGGCTTTGTAGGTTCCCGGGTCTCATCAGTTCCTTCAAGTGGAGTAACTGGAGCCCCAGGCCTTGATGCTTTCTAACCAAACTCACAACATGCTGACTTCTAAGCAACTGCCAGGAATGCAAACGATGTCAAGGTCCTTCCTTCCAGATCACTGTTCCTGAGTGATCACTGTCCTTTTCATGATCCATGAAAAAGCCCCAGTGACTCTTGGACTGAGCTCCTTCACCAGAAACAGAAAGTGTATTCCTGCCACATTCAAGATTCCTCCCTCATTCCCTCAACCTATGCTGGGCCAGCAGGCACTTGTGCTTCTCTCTTGCTAGACTCCATGGAGACTCGCCTGCGATTGCTCTAACTACGGCCTCATGGAACTATGGAATTCCATGAGCCAAAGAGAGAACTCCTCCTAAATTTTATATATCCCAAATTTCACATATATGAAAAAAAATGCTAAAGTGTTTCACATGTATGCTTTCCTCTTGTAGATTTTCTGTAAACTGTCCACACGACCAAAATTAAAAGCCATAAATGCTAATGTTTCCTTGGTTTCTAGGGCACCATCTCATGGCTCTCTCTTGCCTGTCTGGCTTGTCTCACTATCTCTCTCTCTGAAACTTCCTCAAAGTTCTGACCCCATCCTTGCCCTCATCTCCCTAATTCTCACTTGTGGACTGAAAGCCCCTTCAGTTCTGAAGATGTCCAAATGGTAAATTCCAGCTGAGCCGGGCCTGCGTGGCCTCCATATAACTTGTCCATGGTCCCTCAAGTTCAACACATAATGAAAGAAACTGGTGACCTACCCCTACTTCAACCCCCCTGAGCTCTGCCATCTTCATTGCTGTCGTTAGAAACTAGCACATGCCAACTCCTTCTGTGCAATGCTCTCCACCGCCTGTTGACTGTCCCTCTCCAGTAGCTCTGAGCAGTTCACATTTCTAGGGCTGCCAGCACTTGACAGGAGAATTTCAGTAGTCTCCCAACTGCTAGCATCTTACCCTCCAATCTCCTTTCATATACAACAACCATTGATTTTCTAACGTGAGAATCTGACTACTCCATTCCCTTAACTTGTATCTCTTCTGTACCCATTATAGTTCTTCTTTCCCATTATTCACCCAAAAAATGATAAATTCCTTAAGATGGGTTACACTATTTGTCAGGATCTGGTCACCATTTATCTCTTGCCAACTCTCTCTTTCCCCACCTCCTTGCAATGCCCACTGCACCCAAACTTTTTCTCCACCCATTCAAATGATGCTGTTCATAGTCTCCCTTGTCCAGACACAGTACTCTCCCCTCAGCCTGGAACACTTCCCCTACCTCTTGATCCTTCTCATCTCATCTTTAGCTCCTTTCCTCACCACTCTAAATTCAGGTCCAATGCCCTCTGGATGCTTTCCTCTCATAGCACAGGCATGCTATAATTACCTACTTACCTAGACTGAAAGAACATGAGGAAAAGGACTGTGTCTTCCTTTCCCCCATTTCACAGTGTCAGGAACACTGTAGATGCTCAATCCATACGCTGAGTGATCAACTGGATGAATGAATGAATGAATGAATGGACTTCCCTGGGACCTCACTGTTCCTACCCTTGACCCTGCACTGCATTATAATTGCCTGGTTACTTTTCTACCCCCCTTCTTTCCAATTTGGGGCTTTTTGGGGTAGAACTTTTCTAACTCACTGATGAGTTCCCAGTGTCCAGCACAAAGTGGCACTTAATAAATACTTACTTAATGGGAAATCTACCAATTGATAAGACAAAAACAGGCCATTTTTCTCTGGATGTATATGATTTGGTTAAGATTTTATATTTAACTGTTTAAAGTTTTTCATAAAGACATGCTTTCTGCCAATGAAGTTGTTACTAGTTTGGATGTGTTATTAAATATACCAAGACTTCACAGGGTTTTTTTGTGTATTCTAGCTCAACAGGAAACCCCAAGTCGGCCACCAGCTACATACTCATAGCAAAATAAAGTTAGGAAAAAAAAAATAGAACAGGTTCCATGTGAAGCTACCTGGAGCCTAAAGATGACAGCTACAATGTTGAAATCCTTATAAGTATTGAAAGTTACCATTTTGAAACTCTGCCTGTTCTGCCACCACAGCTATTTTGAGAACTGATGGTTTACTCATGCCACAAATCAGTGGAGTGTAATTTTCTTTAAAATAGTTAACGGTCTAATTTCTTTTGTGACACAAATAAGAATGTTTACAGGAAATGTTGTAGTATCACCATACATTTATTAGTATGCTTTACGCTGCAAGGAACAGACTATCCAACTGAAGGTAACTTAGAGAGTGAAGAATTTATGACCTCACAAAGCAGTCCACCTGGCCCTCCCAGGTGGTGCAACAGGTTAAAGCACAGCACTATGAAACTACTTGCAGCCACTGCAACATAAGTTCAATCTCTGGCCAGGGAGGGGACCCACATGGCACAGACCTCTCCTGTCTCAACTGTTGCTCCCCTCAGCAGTGTATTTCAGTACATCTGCCTGTTCTGCTCCCTACTCTGTCTCTGGTGAACCCTCTCATCTCCCTACCTCATACCTCTGGCCTGTGCCCCACTTCTCGTATGCATAAATAAAGCTAAAAAAATTTTTTTAAATAAAACAAGTCTAGAGGGGTAAATATTCCATGACTTAGAAATATTGGCTGATTGTTAAAAAAGATTTATTTTATTTATTTATTCATACAAGAGCTGGTGTACAGGCCAGAGGTGCTGTAAGTGGAACAATGAGAGGCTTCACCAGAGACAGAGTGGGGAGCAGAACAGGCAGATTGAAAAAGTACACTGCTGAGGGGAGCAGGGGGAAGGTCAGGAGAGGTCTTCCACACCATGTGGGTCACCCCTGGGGCTGAGGATCGAACTCCCACTGAAGGGGGTGGCCGCAGCCAGCTTCGCTGTGCTGTGTGTTCCAACCCACTGCACCATCAGGAAGGGCCCCCCAAAGTGAACTTTTTAATACACAAATCTAATTAGATCATGTCTCTGCTTAAAATCCTTCAAAAGCTCCCTTACACCTGACAGGTGGAAAACCCAAACTCCTGAGTATACCACATGAGGTCCTGATAACCCAGTCCCTACTGGCCTTGGTTCAGGATCCCCCTACCAGTCTCTGATCATGGGAAAACACTTGCAGCTCTCCCAAAGCATTAAAATGTTACTAAGGCGGGCCCTTCCTGGTGGCGCAGCGGGTTAAAGCACTGCACTAAGAAACTTCAGCCACTTCCGCATGAGTTCAGTCGCTGGCTGCCCCGGAGGAGATCCACATGGCGAGGCAGACCTCTCCTGACCTGCCCGCTGCTCCCCTCAGCAGTGTACTTCATCAATCTGCCTGTTCTGTTCCCCACTCTGTCCCTGGTGAATCCTCTCACCCTCCGCTTCTCTGGCCTGTACCCCAGTTCTGTATGAATAAATAAATAAATCTTTAAAAAAAAATGTTACTAAGGCTTTTTCTAGTCTCTTCCCTCTTCGGAGAACATCATCTCCTCCTTCTACACCTAATAACTCTGACTTGCCCCTTAGCATCCACCTAGAGTATTGCTCCCTTTCAGGCCTCTTTCCTGAGTCAGGTGAACCTTTCCTCAACAATTCTTTTACACTTAGCCCAGGAGGCAACTGGCAACGTTTGTGGTTAGAGATTTCTTTTCCATTAAATAATGGGTCCCTTGAACTCTCCTGCACTGCTGGTGGGAATGCAAACTAGTACAACCACTATGGAAAACTGTCTGGAGGTTCCTCAAGCTGCTAAACATGGAGCTTCCCTACGACCCAGCAATCCCACTCCTAGGTATCTATCCAAAAGACACAAA